AAGAGCGCTTCGAGTCGTCATAAAATCGACGACTGATTATGACGCGCGTCCACACGCGGCGGCATTTCTCTCGTCTCCTCCTGTTGTTCTCTTCCTCCGGAGCCTTCCACGCAAGCCATTGCCTGACCCTCCTCCTTCTCGGCCTTACCTCTCTCCGCACAGTTTTATCGTGCGACGAAAAGACAAAACCCCAGAGCCGTGACCTGAGCACGCTTCCCTGCCACGCTGAGGCAAGAAGATACATGGAGCAAAGGAATCTCGATACTCCCGGAGTGATCTCGGAATGGTTGCAACGCGAGAACGAAGTTTCGAGTATGGTTGGTCGAAGTACTAGCGACGTGACCAGTGAACATCATTCCAGTGATTTGCTTAAAATTCAATTCGATCGCGATATGAAAAAACAAACATACGATGTCGATGATGATACTTTTGTAAGCATTATCCCTAATGATCAACGCGGCGATCAAATGCATTCTGAAATTAATTATTTAAAACCGAAATTTGACGATCAATTTGACGATTCTGTGAAAAATCAGCAAGTTAGCAACGAAATTAATTTTAAAAATATGAAGCAAAGTGAGAAAAACGCGGAGAATTGGTTAGATAAATTAATCAGGAAGCAACGTAGTGTGTCGATGCTTCAAGCTACTCCTTACTTCTTGGCAAATGAGGTTGTGAGCGAAGTGCAATTTCAGGACGATCAGGATAGCGATAATGATGCAAGTTCGACGATTTTAGATGGACCTCGTCAAAGTGCCGATAATTTACTCGAGAGCTCTGTTCACGATCGCGATACAGAGGGTACATTAATCGGAGCTCCGATCGATCAGTTGCATTTGCGCGAGGCTTCAAGTGTCAATCATCTGGCAATACCGATGAGAAATCGACGAGATCGTAATGAAGTCGATCTTAATGAGGCGAAGCGAACGGATCTAAACACCGATAATTTATTCGCCGAAACATCCGTTAATCGGGTAAGTGAACGCACGAGCGATTTTACAGCTCAACGAGATTCACGCGATGGCGAGATCTTAAGTCGATCGAGCAAGCGCGAGATTGACGTTGCGACAAATCGGCGCGGCCACGATTCGGTAATGCATCGAAGCGATCGCAAGACTGTCGATTTCGAGAGCGCGAGGCAAACTCATTTGGACGGCCGCAATATCTACGCTCTCGATAATCGTACAAGTAGATACGAGAGCACGGTTGATTACCTTCTCAGCGACAGCGACAACTTCAACATCGCTAATGAGTCTACAAACTTGTACACTCCATACGTCGGTACAATGGCGATTAATACGGTTGCTGATAACTTCGATGTCAGTTCCGCTTCCATCGAGGACCAAGTCGAAGTGGACGGAATTTTGGAAATCGAGAATCGAACCGAGATTAACTTGGATACCGATGAGACAGAAATTTCGACCGTGGATTGTCGCGATAGCGCCTGCTCCAAATCGAGTAATAACGATAACGTTTTTAGAACGAAAAAATATGGCAGAGCGAAGGAATTGAATGATAATAGGAAAGATGAAGGCTATTTCGCACGAGTCGGAGACGTATCGACGATATCTGTCAACGACAACGATACCGATATCGACGTCATTAACAACGAAACGCCTTTCACAGGCTTCGAAGGTTCTCAGAAATTCCCTGTAAAAATCAATCATAAGTCGCTGCCGGAGTTGCCGCAGGTTGAAAAGTTTGACAGACGACACTTTGGCCCGCAAAAAGAGAATGTACTTGAAGAAACATCCACATGGTATCCGAGTACTGTGCTTCTCGATCTACCCAAGAGTCCCAGCAGAAACGTGCTTCATCGCCATCGCAAAACGGACGACGTCGTCGGGATGGATGAAGAGAATAATAGAGGCGAGGAGACAATCGAAAGAAATGAGAAGCAAAATGACACTTTGGACGAGTCCTGGCTACCCGGTATGTCGTCGTCCGGCGTCAAATCGAGCTCCGAAAAACTTGCGGTGACTCCAAATATCACGTACGGTAACTTCGAGAACGTGACGAAGAAGGATAAGAACGATTCCGACGGAAGGGTGGAGATCGACGTGACGGTGCCGAGTGCAAGACCGATAGAAAAGACAAATATAACCATCTTGGGTCTCTTCGAGATGACATACAGGACGGTACCGAGACCGGAAGGATCCTGCGAGCTTCAAGCAGCGAAATTAGCAGTCGAGCGAGTCAACGAGTTAGATGTGTTGAAACGTTTCCGTCTGCGACTTATTTACAATGATACTAAGGTAAGTTAGCCAATTAGTAAAATAAACATTGTCTAGCGTTGTTGTCATTGAGCATTCAACAGTAAAATATTCCTTTTAATAATGGTAGAAATAATATAATTGGAAAAATTGTTTCTTTATGCGAATTCTGTATTTTAATAAACTGAAAGAAAAAAAGATAATATATGAGAATGAAATGTGAATGAGAAAAAAATTGTATGATCGAGAAGCAGATTAATACAAAAAATAACTTCGTAAGTTTCTATTCGAAATAACCCCGCACTTGTGCATTTGCTCTTATTCACAATTAAATTCCGTGTCCGATTATCAATACATGTGCAAAGTATGATCTATGAGATTGCTTAAAGTCCTGTCTGTTTTTAAATCCCAGTAGCAAGAAATTATTGGAGCAGCGTAGAATCTAACTTATATATAAATCACAATGGATTACCAGCTTAATATTATTCCATATAAATTGCTTTTTTCCCAGCAAATATTGAAAATATTGATTATATAATATATTCTCATCTGTTCAAATCTAACGTCATGTAACGTAAAATGCATATAAAGTAATAGAATATCACAGAGATTGGCTAATTTCAGTTCATATTTGTGCTTCTTTGTAGAAAATATCTTTATTTATAATATTTTAGAATACAAGAATTTATATAACTGTCTCACTAAATATATTGTACATACAGTTACACATTTTCTATTTTATTAGTGGAGCAAGATATACGAAACATTATATGATTTGTTTATCAAATTACAAAAAGTAAGAATTAAATTTTTCAAATCTTGTCACTAAAACATTACATTCAAGATTCTCAAAATTTTCAGCTTGAAACTTTCTATTGGTAGCAACTTCCTGTCCGCTCGCATCCAGTCCTCTTGCATCGCTTAAGCGCTTTAGAATGTATTTATGGTATGCGCGCATCTCTTGCCGAAAAATTATGGAATGCAGCTCGATGCCGGCGTCTAGATGATATCACCAGTTACGTTGTTATGTGGACGACGTTAAGCTTACACAAAAAAAGAGAAAGAGAGGAGAAAGAAAGAGAGATGAAAGTAATTTCAGTAGTATTATTTCTTTTTCTGCTGACGAAATCTGCGAGATATATAGATTGAGCATTATACGTGGGGTATATACTCTCGACGGCGAACCGAGCTTTTCTACATCGCTGCCTAAATTACATCATTCTTTCGGTAATTAGCGACCGAGAGTTCGCTGAAATAAAATCTCAAACGGACTTTAATTGGAAATTTTTCCTGGTAAAAACATTGTGCTCTTGAGAGAGGAAGATTTTCCTGCACATCCGCTATTATAATTCGTGAAAAATAGTTTCGCGGTTGTTTACGAGGCGTATAATGTGCTCGCGTGTATGATACAGAGGCGTATGATGAGATTTGCAACAACTTCACGCACGATTGCTTTGACGAAAATGCCATGCAATATGCAATATAAGGAAATCTCGTGCGGATTTGCATAATATAAGATATAAGGGAAGGATGTGAAACGAGGTCGTGTTCAAGTACTAACAGTTTATATCTTACTTCTTGAGATTTGATAGATATTAATCTCGGATCTATGATTTTTAAACTTTTGAGCTTATTATTCAGCTTCCCAAACTATTCCTGATATCTAGAGGTAAATTCCCTGTCATGCGACGATGTGACACATGGTCTTCCGACGATAAATCGAAACCGCTGTCAGATGCCTCGCTTTGAAACAGCTTTGAACATCTTCTGACAGTGCGACCTAACTACCATACGCGTTCCAACAGTTTGCAGTTTACTCCCAGCGCATACGAAATACTCTTCGTAATGCTCGTTCAGGTTGCGCTTTGAAATTTAATAATATCGATCAGTTCTCGCGCGCGCCTCGTCCTTTGGTTACACACAGTTGCGTCAATAAAATCTGTTTAAAAAGAAATACAATAATGTAAAAATACAATAACATAAAAACGCGATAACATATATAAATATATTCTACGTATTTTAGGAAAGGATAAAAAATATAGAAAATATATAATTAAAATTTAACTTAATCAATTTCTTGAGTTTTTGAATTTTTTAATATTTTGCAGTGAGTCTGTCAATAAAAAAATATTGGAACATCTGCACGTCTAGCAAGATTTCTGATTCTCACAATATCGGTCTGACACACGATTTCTCTCGTTAGATACTTTTTGCTATGCATAAATGTATTCACATTTCTCAAGAAAAATTTTTGCAGAACTTTTATAACTCTGTCAACTTCACATACATATTTCTTTATCGCTAAAATATTTTAAGCTTATTCTAATATACGAGATGTCCATAAGATTAGAACTTATCCGTTTGACTTTCGAAACATATCACAAAGAATAAGGCCTGCTTGTCAAAATTGATGGCACTTGATTTCTGTGTGTAGATATAGCAGACAAAAAAGAAATCTCGTTTACGATAATGAAAGTCACGTTAATCGTTCTGGCCCAGTTCGCGCTCTGACGGCTACCTCAAATACAGACGGATAGTAAATTGGCGAGAGTTCGCACATGCATACCGAATGCTGCTTACAAAACAAACTGACCCTGTGTTTACCCTAAAAGAGAATGGTGGCAACGAATTGCGGTCTGGTCACGAACGTGTGGCGCGATTAAACCGATGTTTTGTTTCGTATTCGAGGGATAAAGGCAAAGCGTCGAGAGGATCGCTATGAGCTTGAAAGTTTTTGCTGTGGTATGCCTTCGTGGCACTAAATTCTAAATAGTTTCACGCTGTGGTGTTCATTTAATAGAGCGATGCTAGTAGTTGTATCCATTCAGCAGGCAGCAGGAAAATTTTATTTCCAAATTTTATTTTACTCATATATATAATTATACTCATACCTAATAAGTTTACAAATTGTAAATATGTATTATGCATTTTAAAATTATTGGATATTTTTAAGCAAGGATAATTATAAATTTTCGATTTAATTATATATGCAAAAATTTAGAAAAAATTAAATATTGTTTAAAAAATTTATCGCTCTAATCAGAAAATGGTTTTAATCGTGTCTTGCAAATATTCGGAGTTAAATTACACGATATGAATATGGAATTATGAGAAACAAACGAATTTTGTCTAACGCGAGTCGTGAATCGCAAAACCGTATTTGTCCGTGCAAAACCCATATTCGCATTGATCGTAATCCTTGCTGCGCGTAATCTCACCACGCTCAGAAGCGTATTGAAGGGTGAGACAATCATAATGAATGATATGAGATTCAAAAGAGATAACGAATTTACAGCATTTTCACACTGCGAGAATGCTGTAAATTATAAACTTTTTATATTTTCATATCGTATTTGACCGCCCTTATAAATTTTTTTTTCAATATTAACATCTAGTTGTCTATAGATTAATATCTACTTATATATAGATGATTCCACTTTGCCTTTATTGAGCAATTGATCGAATTTTAACCGATTCCAGGTGGACCGCTCTTGTCGGCGCGAAATCAAAATATTACGCAAAGACGTAATTTTACCTAATTATTCGCTAATTATTTTATTTTTTTTTAAATTAAAAACCGATGCACTAAAGCATGCGCTCAACGCATTAAATACGCTTTCTACATACGAGTTATATGCTTTTACAGCCTTGTTACGAATCGTTTGGATACTTAATTTCCCTTTTAGAATAAACCTTCCAGGTATTAAGCCCTCTCACCAACGTCAAGATATAATTGTTGGGAAAGTTATATAATTTATAAATTATATAATTTTATAAATTTGTTATAATAATTTATTATAATAATAAATTTATTATTATAATAAATTATTATAACAAATTTATAAAATTATATAATTTATAAATTATATAATTTTATAAATTTGTTATAATAATTTATTATAATAATAAATTTATTATTATAATAAATTATTATAACAAATTTATAAAATTATATAATTTATAAATTATATAATTTTATAAATTTGTTATAATAATTTATTATAATAATAAATTTATTATTATAATAAATTATTATAACAAATTTATAAAATTATATAATTTATAAATTATATAATTTTATAAATTTGTTATAATAATTTATTATAATAATAAATTTATTATTATAATAAATTATTATAACAAATTTATAAAATTATATAATTTATAAATTATATAATTTTATAAATTTGTTATAATAATTTATTATAATAATAAATTTATTATTATAATAAATTATTATAACAAATTTATAAAATTATATAATTTATAAATTATATAATTTTATAAATTTGTTATAATAATTTATTATAATAATAAATTTATTATTATAATAAATTATTATAACAAATTTATAAAATTATATAATTTATAAATTATATAATTTTATAAATTTGTTATAATAATTTATTATAATAATAAATTTATTATTATAATAAATTATTATAACAAATTTATAAAATTATATAATTTATAAATTATATAATTTTATAAATTTGTTATAATAATTTATTATAATAATAAATTTATTATAATTTTGTTTAATTTTTGAATACTTTAATTGATTTTTGATGACTATTTACGTCTTATTCTATGATTTCAATCCGAATGTCAAATTACATTAATTTAGATAGGCGAAAAATTAAAAATATTAAATAAAATATATTTAACTTTAGCAGAGTTATATATATAGAAACAACTGTTGTCCGTAATTATTTCAATAAGGATTGTAACAACACGTTTATTATATTTTATAATTTTTATTTCTGATATAAACGTTGCTGGAAACCTTTATATCAGAAACGGTGGATAATAATTCATTTAATTCAAATTCATGTTTCCACATTACTATGCAGGAAAGCACACATAAATCTCGGATTATTCGTGAAATTCAAACTCGCGCGATTTCTCACTCTCAAAACTACCATCGAAAGCAAGTGGCATTATGGGTGCGGACTCATGGTCTTTATGTCTTTGGTACGAATTTCTTGAACACACGTGAATGCATTCTCGCGTAATGTACGTGCATCTGATTACGCACGTGC